TTTACTCCACGAAGAAATGACTTTTGGAGGCTCAGAAGGTGTTATTCGTAATCAGCTCGTTAAACTGAATCTGAATATGTATAATGAAGTCAAAACAAAATTCCACTTGAATTTTGCATTAGCTGAACCTTACGTCTAATTTTATTAAGTGCAAATTTACGTTTAAAAGATTCTAGTTCATCATATATGGTCGTATGGTCGTAGTGGCACGATTCGAGTCTCTTCCTGTGGAGATATGCATCGAAATATTTCGATATTTGAATGGTACTGATCTCTTGTATGCGTTCCATCAACTCAATACACGATATGATCAACTACTCAACAATTACCATCATTATTCACTCAATTTCGCGTTGATAAAAAAAAAGTCGATTTCCGACTATGTTTGTCAACATCTCTCACCAACACAAGTCTCGTCTCTTACGTTGTCTAATACTGAAGCGACTTGTGGACAAATTTCATTATTCTTCTCATTGTTCTCTATCGATCAGTTTGTGAATCTTCGATCTCTGAAGCTGTTATTTCTCACTGAAGATCAGTTGATCGACATTCTGTCAAAATTACAACGACTTAATTCGCTTTCCAGTATTTGCATTAATATTCATAACCACCCGTTAAATGAAAATCTAAGACAACTCATAATACAAAACACATTAACAAGCTCGAAACCATCTGCGATAAAACGAGTATCACTATTAGTCAATAATGTTCTTGAAAAAATCAAAATTACATCATCATCGTCCGTTCAATATTTCTCAACGAACTATTGGGACATTGAAGATTCATTAAGCTATTTTTATAAACTTCAAAGTTTTGAAATTGGTAATCTTAAGCGTCAGTCGCCTTTCCCATCTTTCAGTGACCAAGCACCGATGACCAGCATCACTCATCTCAAAGTAAATAGTTCTACCGAGGTAAAGATGACACATATCGAACAATTTCTTGGACAATTTCCAAATTTAAAATATTTATCGATAGTCGCAACAAACGATCCAAATTACGTGGATGCCGAACGATGGCAACATCTATTAAAAAATCTAAAAAAGTTCGAATTTAAATTCTTGTTCGAGCAGTACGAAGACGATAGGAGAACGATCGACGATATACTACAACCGTTCCGATCCGATTTTTGGTTAATCGAAAAAAAGTGGTTCGTCACATGTGAGTTTCATCGTAACTGCAAGGAAATTTGTTTGTATTCGGATCCATCATTGAATGAATCTGTTTCTCTTGATCCATTATCGACATTCGCTGTATCATCTACTACAACGAATCTAATCAATCGTATCGATGTGAAATATTTATCTTGGCTTTATCAATCGATTGAAAAAGAAGACGACGATGTCGGTGCTAGAAACATTGTTTACTATTATCCAAAGACATTGACCATTTACCCATCTTGTACAACCAAAATTGTAAACTATGTTCGTTTGACCAATTTAAAAGAACTCGCAATTTATATTACAGAAGACCGTATTCTCGGTTCGATCATCGCTTATGGATCTCCTTTCTTTGACATTCCACATCCATTAAATATGAAATTACTTCAACGATTAATTGAACAATCGCCACAACTCGATTCCTTAGATTTAACATATCGAACATTAATGATGATCGTTGCTTCCAATGTAAAACTACGTTCGTGTCTGAATAAAAGAATCAAACGCGTCAAAATGGATGTAAATGAAACGAGAATGTACTGTGTCGAACAAATATGTTCCGTATTTAACAATTGTCAAGAAATTTCATGGATTCATTTACGTTCACCTGAGGAATTAATTCAACTTATCAATCGTTTGCAGAAATTGACAACGATCACTTATGTGCGTATCGGTCAAGGAGGAAGAATAATCAATGAAACATGGCTACGACAAAATACGAGATTGAAGAAGATGATACATGGCATCAGTTGGGAATATAATGCTAGTTTAAAAACAATTAGTCTGTGGATCAACGATGATGAGAGAACTCTTAGAGGTAAGTGTGAGGAATCGTGAACAGACTAGGTAGTTCAGTGGTTAGAACAGAGGCACGGTACGCCGACTGCCTGAGTTTGATTCCTAGTCTGATCCATCATTTTTCCTTCACAGCAAGTCTATTTTCCTGTACACATAAAGAAATAATTGATTATTTAAATTCCTATCATTTGTTCTAGACGATCGAAGGAGCACAATATCAGAAAGAAACAACAATACTCAACAGGCGGATAACTTGTGCACACAAATTTTTTCATTTTTTTTTCGCGTTTTCAAACGTGTGTGATAATCAGCTCCAAGCTTCCGGTAAATGAACATGTCGATCTGTTTAGGTTTTTTTCTGAAGACACTATCTTTTATAATAAATTTGTTAACAGAAAAAAAGTCGTCTAAGCTGGCATCTATGTTGCTGGGAGTACGTTATATTCTATCGGGGCTACACCAGTCGGTCCTTTTCTCGACTCGTACCCCTGAATCCAATAACAACTCCAGAATAATCAGGTTTATAGGGTTCTTTGTATGACCGGATTAGTATAGCTTTAAACTTTGCTTAAAATTTTTTGATAATGTGTATGCTTACTCTGTTGCAAACTGAGCTAACACAGACATTAGCCCTTGAGTACAAATCTCCATCGCCCCTTGACTTCAATCATCAATTACACCACACTGATTTCGAATACTACTTTAACGAGTATATCTACAAACGAGATTTTGAAAAGTTGTACACACTTGTAAATATTCAAAATACTGAAAACCGATTAGTTGAATGGCTATAGGCTGTTTACCTTTAAAACGTCATTTGCGTGACGCAAATTGCGTCTTAGAAACGAGGTCTTCTCTACACTCTTTTCCTTCTCTCATAGTCGTACTGTTGGGCATATATTGGACTGTGCATCCATTGCTGTCTTACGAAATTTGTTCCTCGATTTCTGGGATTCCAACAGATTTCTCGCCAGGAAGTAATTGACCGACATACTCATTCTGTGACGAAAAATTTACTTGCAAATGATAACAACGCTGTAGTACTTATTTTAGATGGCACTGCCAAAAAAACTTGTCAGCTTTGCTCCTGTGGAGCAAAAAGTGTGAAAACTTCGTGACCTTCTCTAGGGGCAGCAAAAATACTGATGCTACTATATTTCTACAGCTTCACCTACTAACATTCTTGTCTATTCTTAACAAGAAATTAAGACTATGCAAATGCCATCTTAAGATTGTGTAAACCTCACATCTCAGTTATGTAAACTTCAACATTTTCCTAGGTCTATTTTCCTCTAGGATTCTCTCTAAAGAGATGGAGCTTAGGTTCTGACGCCATTCGAACCGCCTTGGAACGTAGAATAAAAGTACGTACCGCTTTTTCCGAAATTCCTTTCCATTGTTGAAAAAATTCATTTTTTCTCAATCAGAGGCGAGAAAGTCAGAATTCTGTTCGTAGTCTCAATTTTCTCCATCAGAGATCAACTTTAATATAATAACAATATCATATTCGGAATCAGAATCAATAACTGAGTCGACTAATGTGTATTTGAAATTTTTAGTTGAATTTCATTTTTTGGTGAAATCGTGATATTTTTTTTCAATGTGAAAATTTGACAAAAACTAGGGTGGTCGGATATGATTGAGATACCCATCATTCCATTCGTTTTTTGATCCTGATTCCGAATATCTCGACTTTCTCATCTTTGATTGAGAAAAAATGAATTTTTTCAGCAGCAGAAAGAAATTTCAGAAAAAGTGATATGTACTTTTATTCTACGTTCCAAGGCGGTTCGAATGTCATCAGAATCAAGGCTCCATCTCTTTACAGAAAAAACTAGATGGGTTTGCGAGTGAATATTTTTCCTCACCCTTCCAATATATTGAGCTTTTTTCGTAGAAAACGGACACTAGGTGAATTAAAAGTAAAATATTTGTGATCAGCGTCAAACACTACATCTAATGGTGTATCTTTAAGCCAAAAATAAAATAGTGCTTTACGTCTGAGTTTGGAGCGCCTTACATCTTGACTAAACCAAACCTAAGATGAATGTAAACAAATCAGAAAAGTCGATTATCAAATATTCGTTCGCCCGCAGAATAAGTAATTGATCCAAAACTTAAAATAAAGCAATCATTGGCAACCGTTTTAGGAATAAAACAGTTATCCCTTTGATTTATTCTATTTATTTCAAAAAAGTACATAATCACGGTTAACCTTTTTCATATAGCGTAGATAGAGTTTATTATTTCATCACGAGCCACAATGGGATGTAATTCATCAGATCGATATGTATGACACTGCCACATAGATGTCTGGATTTTAATCTCACAGTTAAAATTCGCCTTGCAGTACGCGTTCATGTCTCGGTTGAGATATAATCCTTCGCAGAGAGTTTTATCTTTCATGCGCTAAAAAATCCAGTCAACCAAAAACGCTTACCACGGTGTATCTTCCGAAACAACATGTTCGAGCCTGCCATTTCAAAAATCTACATAGCAAAGTACTGCTCTAAACACATGTGGATATACAACAGATACCACTCTACAACCTGCTGTAAGTCCCAAGTCTTCATCTACTGTGGTTCGGGCGCTACAGGCTACCTTCGGGAACCTACCTATCGGCTAAATCTGGAGGTCGGAAACCTTAAAAATACACAAAAGCATAGGTTTCGGAACATGGAAAATCTCGTGGCAATGTTTGTTTTGGTGTCAGGAGTAAACAAACTTCAAAAGATGAGTTTTTCAGAAAATTCGGGTTTTCACCTATAACTGTACTAAAATAAAAACCTTCTAGAGCCATCATTTCTTATCCAAAGTGCTTCAAATTTCCAAAAGTCACTCAGTTTTGCTTACTATACAGTTTAGGAATATTAGAATTATGTTTTCATACTGAGATTTCACCTAAAGGTCTTCAGAGGTTTTCTAAAAAAACCTGTCGACGGTTCGCTTTGTTTTTTATAGTTCGGGTAGTGAGATCGGATAGAACACCTGCTCTTATGCTCACTCGTCAACTTCAAGGTAGCCTGTAGCGCCCGAACCACAGTAGATGAAGACTTGGGACTTACAGCAGGTTGTAGAGTGGCATCTGTTGTATATCCACATGTGTTTAGAGCAGTACTTTGCTATGTAGATTTTTGAAATGGCAGGCTCGAACATGTTGTTTCGGAAGATACACCGTGGTAAGCGCTTTCGGTTGACTGGATTTTTTCATAGGATTCTAGCCCCAAGTGTCCTCTACCAGATGCTGAAATTTACAGATCTGTATCTCATTCCTATCAAAGGTTATTCAAAAAACGATAGTGTACCTTCTGTTTTGAAATGGATAATAAAATCTTGTGTTAAGCAAAATCCAGCACAACTGCAAGTGCTCTTTACAAAAGAAAGTATAAGCAAAATCAGAAATTTGTTTACAAAACTTAGTTAATCGTCATTTTTATAAACTTTTGCATTACAGCTACAGAAAATGTTGTACGTTAAACTCTTCTTAGATCGATCGATGTATTTATCTCTTGTGACTATGATGATGAAAATCGCAGACCGCTGTCTCTTTAGCTGTGGTAGTATACAGCAGATTATAGTGAATGCAATTAATCAGAAACCCATGAAGATGTATTGAGTTTATTATCAGAAAAAACAAGAATGAAAATGATTATTTTTTAAATATCTTGGTGATGAAATATGTTAGAGACATAGGGTGTTTACCATCTTGTAGAGGAGACTTTCCCCTATTGACTCATATATGGGGGCTTGAAAACTACGTAGCATGTCTTGATATCGAGATATTTGAAAGATAACCATTGCCATTCTTTTTTTCGGCAATAGTTTATCATCATTAGTGTCTCTTTCTTTCAATATTTATATTTTTTAATATATACTACGAACAGCAACAAATTTTGCGGTCAAAAGAAAATGAAAACTACATAAAAATGAATCATAGGGTCTGACTATTTATTTTGGTAGCATAATACAGATGTATCTATTTTATCTTCCGTAAGTAATTGTTAGTAATGCTAATCTTTGTTTCATTTGTTCGGTTAACATATCCCAGTAAAAACGCCATGTCCAGTTTGTTTCATCTTTACCGTTAGCTGGATCATTCATTCTTGATTTACTATCTAGACCAAGAATGTCTTGGAAAGGTATAATAGCTATGGCAGCAACAGACGATAATATGAGTTGTATAGAATACCAATTGATGTTTTCTTTAGTATGAGTGGGATCGCGCTGTAAATAACTGATAATTTTTTCTTTTTCTTCCTTTGATGCATTTTGAAACCATCCTTTAGTAGTATCAGTATCATGTGTTCCCGTATAAGCACAACAGTTTTTAATATAATTATGAGGTAAATATATTTTACTTTTTACTTCATTAACAAATGCACAATGAAGCACTCTCATACCCATAAAATGAAATTTATCACGCATATCGAATACTTCTTGAGTTAAATACCCAAGATCTTCAGCTATTATCGGTAAATGTGGTCCCAGTGCTTTCTCAGCAGCTTTGAATAATTCATTACCATGTGCTTTAATCCACTCACCCTGTCCTGGCGGACTTGGATCTCCAGTTTTAGAATCAACGGGGATAGACCAGTAGGCTTCAAAACCACGAAAATGATCAATTCGAACAATATCTAGTAATTCTAATGCTTTCTTCAGTCGTTTAATCCACCAATCATAATTCGTGTGTTTTAGTTGACCCTGAAATACATCAAACTGGAGCCACTATTAAGAACTCTAGTGGGGATGGTAACGACGTTCGCTTTATTGGATAAAAAGCGTTAATAATAACGACATATCAACAACTTTTGATTCAGAAAAGATTATGTTTTATAAAAAGAATAACTTACATCCCAATCATACAGCGGGGTATTCCAGCATTGGCCATCCGGTGAGAATAAGTCAGCCGGGGCACCTTAAACAAAAACTCGTCAGGTTATGAATTAGAACGGAAACAGAATCCGTCTAATGAAGTTCAACAGCAGTGCAAAGAAATACTACAAATCCGAGCTTTTTGTTGAGTAACGGATTCAATTGCTGTGAAGTTCCCAAAATAGGAAGACGTAACCTCCTATTCTATAAAAGCTCGTTCAAATTCATTCTGAAACCTGAAAACAATTGTGTTTTGATGCTGCTTTGCTTTTTATAAGAAATTATCCGACCTCTCCATGACTATTCGTTTCGACTTTGAATGTTTTAGATCAAAATTATTCAATTGATCAACGAAGAGAATATAGTTTTATCCTTCGCTAATTTTGTAGAACCAAGTATTTTCTACTGAACAGAAGCATCTTTATACTAGGGTGACCTTTCATTCTCACATTATTGGTATTGGCGGAAGCACTTTTAAGAAAAGCAACGACTGAGGCAAGATCCTGATAAGCAAATCAAAAAAAAAGACTTAGAGTACTTTACGAGCACATGCACGATAGCAGCGACCTGGTGTGCTCAATTTTTCTTTTAAAACTGAATTCTGATTTTGCCAGTGTATAGCCTTACTAAAATTGAGTATATTCTGAAATCCTTAGCCTACAGCGGTGTTTCATTGATCGGGAATAAATTTTTAATCTCGACACTGATCACCCTATTCCACAGCATTAATGACCTTTTGTATGGTTTGGCGTTATTCACCAACAATTTCACACCTCTGTGTGATATTGCGGTCAAAAATTACAAGCATTTTCCTACATATCCTAAAACAGACCATCGAATGCACAGCGTTTTCTCTCAAAACACATTTTTTGTTCGAACATGCCTAGTGCAGGGCACTTTTTTAGATATACTTCAAGTTAGACATCTTGGGTTCGTTTTATTTTAAACTAGACACTTAACTGCGTGCGCTGATGGAATCAGATTTTCGAATAAGGCCTTAATTTTCTAGAAAATCAAGGATCTCTGGAAAATCTGAACGGTTTTTCGGGGGTTTCAAGGATCTTGGATCTCTAGAAAACCAATGAAAACCTAAATCAAAAATCTGGTTCCATCAGCCCACGCAGTTAAGTGTCTAGTTTAAAATAAAACGAACCCGAGATCTCTAGCTTGAAGTATATCTAAAAAAAGTGCCCCGCAGTGGAAGTTGAATTTTTGATCTTGGACTGTGGAAAACCCCAGAACGGTAAGAGGTAGCGAGGAAAAAAAATTTCATAACCACACTTTGATATGGCAAACATTTGCTGAAAGTGGCATCAGAATCGGATGTAAGACAAAAAAGTTTTTCTGAGGGGACCTTTAAGACAAAGTCAAGTTCCACTGCAACTTTCTGTAGGTCGCAAAGCAATTCGCCCTTGCTAATATTCCTCATTTTTATGCCTTAATGTAGCATCTTTCAAAAATGTAGTTGGGTCTATTGACTCAAAGACACGATCCTAACAATTCACATTTATTTTCTTTATTTTTTAAATAAAATAAGTCGTTCAACACGTAACCGATGTCGAATTTGGTTTTCATTATTAAAAGATCGTCATCCAATAAGCTGAAATAATACACCCCACTCAACTTTGAAGTGCAATAGCTTTTAATAAGGGTGAAAAAGTTTATCTTCAGTTATTTTCACTTTAAAAAGAGTCTGATTAACAGCATTCTCACTCAAATTGTTCTTCCTCATCATCTAGAAAATCGATGAGAATTTTCTAGAAAGTAGAAAATAATCCAGCTTTTTGATTTTCGAAAGGACGATATATAAAATCGCTGAGAATTTTCTATACATAATTCCCAACAATGTAGAAAATCGATGTCGATTTTCCCCATTATTGGAAATTCGATTTTCTATAATCTGGAAAATCTTTGAGGATTTTATATGTGGACTTCTTGAAAATCGCCGAGGTTTTCTATAAATAATTCCCGACTTTACAGTGTAGACACATGCAAATCTGGAGTTTCGTTAACTTAAAAGAAAATGTTCTTACCAGAAACAGCTGTCGGCAGTCTTGTCTCCTTATCTAATTGAAATACTGATGGATTTGCCCAAACGTCGACACTATCATAGCTAACATATATCGGTATATCTCCGATAATTTTTATTTCTAGTTTATTTGCATACATTTTTAGTTCATTCCATTGTTTGTAAAAGAAGTACTGTTGAAATATCAGACTATTAATTGTATCAATATTTGCAGTTTTAAACGTATCTAATGCATTTTTATCATGTTCTCTTAAATTTTGATCCCATTTTGACCATGTTACATTCTTATGCACTTTCCTTAATGCTACATACAATGAATAATCATCGAGCCAATATTTTTCTGAATTTATAAAACTTTCAAGTTGTGATTGTTGTCGTTGATCCCTTTTAAATGTTTCATACGCTTTCGTCAAAAGTTGATATTTTAATTTTTTAACACGGTTAAAGTCGACATGATCGTTTTCAGTTTCTTGCATGTCAATTATCACGCTGTTCAAATCTTCCTCATTTAGTAAACCATCATCGAAGAGCTTTTCAGGCGAAATTAATAATGGATTACCTGCAAACGCAGACATACCTGAATAAGGTGATGGATACTCCGTATTTGTTAATGGTAATATTTGCCACAGAAGTTGTCTGGTTTCATGAAGGAAATCAACAAACCGAAACGCTTCTGGACCAAAGTCACCAATACCATATTTACTTGGTAATGATGTCACATGCAATAAAATACCAGCACTGCGTTCTAATTTCATTTTCTGTACTTTCTATTCAAGATCAAGAAATATACATAACATAAGTATATAAAGTCCATGATTCAAAGAGTGGCTGGTATATATATTAGAGTTCTATCGTAGACCGCAAATTCTTTATCTCACATACGACAAGATGCACATATGTCTCACATACAGATTCTGCATGCCACATCAAGAAAAAGACGAATTTACGCTGTACGATAGAACTCTATTTATGCCTTCTATGATTCTCCTCTTTTCTTTTTTTTCTTAACTACTGCGTTATTTTTTTCTCTTTCTGCTTTTTTGATGAATCAGTACAACGCTTAGTCTTCTGTAACATACACAATACAAGCATGTTTTTTAACACGTTTTCTATCATTCTGTTTTCTTGAAATCTACTTTGTTCTGCGGTTTTGTCTTCGTTCTCCTATTTAGCTCCACATTATTTATGATTTTGTTCTTCTTTACGGATCTGGTTGACTGTTTTCTCTATTTTTCGCGTGGATCTACGAAACGATTTATATAGTTTCTTATATAAATTAATTAGATCTTACAGATAGATCTTCTATAAACTCAGCCAGTGCAATATCATTTATTACTCGGAGGGACACCTCGGCATCGAGACGCACCGACGTTCGCACACTGCAACCCACGACGCTGTTTCAATAAAATTTTCCCTCCGTACAACTAACAGACACTTATGTAAGTTGTAGGTGAAGGTATCAACGCACAATTTGTACAGCTTTTGGTTTTTGTAAAACAATATCTCAAACTTTCCATTAAACAATTCTATTAAAACGTTTATCATCCTCATTTAACCAATTTAACCATTTAACGTTGCTCCTCTCAATGTTTTCTGTGTTGTACATCAGCGTGTAAAAGAAAAAAAAGAAAAAGCTTTCAAACTTAGAAGCAATATCTATCGTATATCTCATATCTATGAGATATATGATAGATATTGCTTCTAAGTTTGAAAGTTTTTTTTACTTTTGATCCAAATGCTCGTTGCACTCACTATAAAATTACTCTATATTCTGCGAACTTAACAGATTAAAATAAAATTAACTAGAATGTACACCTCTTCGTTTTCTGTGTTAGTTTGAAGTACACAAGATATACTATACGACGAGCCATTTTTTAGAAAAGAGTACAGTCTACTTTATGAGATACGGGGCTGTCAATAACGGAGGTGAATATGAGACATAGATGTACTTTCTCTGCCAATTAACAAGCGAAATCATTTGTTAAGGAGTACTTGACTAGCATGACTTTCCGGCTTTCTCTTTGGGTCCTGATAGTCTTAATTCTGCATCCTATATTCTGCCAACTTCCAGAATAATAATTAACTTAAGTATAGGGGATCCATTTTCACTTCTATATAATCCACGCACTAGTTCAGCTAGATGAAACTTTGATGTTTTCTTCCTTCATTTATGCTTACTACAGAGACACAGATATAAAGCAAGAAATGGAGAAAAGAACAAATTTTATCGTTTTATCCAAAAGAAAGAGTCCCTTCACCATGAAATTAGTGTTTATTCTGGCAACTTCCCAGAGTAAAAAGTTAACAAATTTGAAGGTAACCTTCTCCAGTTTCTCTGACAGTTTGAAGTACACAAGTTGTACTCTATGCCAAGCTGTTTTTTGGAAAAGGGTCTCTTTTAGTTTTTAAGATATAGAAATCTAAACATCACAGACTAAAGTTAGTAAAATGTATGGATTTCAGTTTAATTTTAAAAATTGCACGAATTTGGAATGACCAACATAACTTTCTTGATCACTTTTCGGAACATCATAGTCAGAGAAGCCCAAGTTCTACATTTATTTTTTCCAGTGAAATCACTATAATTAAATGGAAACGGATCTATTTTACTAACTTTTATCGTTGATATTGATTGACAGCTCTATTTCTTAAAAAGTAGAAGAAACCTTTTTCTGAAAAATGTATCAGTGTTCCGAATTATAAGTGTCTTAAAGTTTCATTTATTCAAACTGGACATAAAAGTGATCACTTATAAGCGCCTGATCTATTTGAGAATTATTTTGTCTGAATTATATACGATAACAAAATCTAGTTATACTTGTCTTATAGCTAGCTCATTTTCTTCTAAATTAACAAATTACACTTAATATACATATTCTGTATATAATATTTTGTAATTTGTATACTTAGAATCTATTTCTTAGAAAAGGATCACTTTTTGTTTTTGAGATATATACCTGTGAATAGGTTGTCTGTTTTGCGACTATTTCGTATTCCAGCGTTACATAACATTTCATGTTATAATAAGTTTTATATAAATGTGTAGAGGAGGCTAATTTACTAATAGTGAATGCAAAAAAACTCACAGTATAAGATATTCAAAGATATTTTAAGAAATATTCTGGTATTTTTTAGTAAAAATCGTTGAGATATTTTTTGTAAAAGGTTAGATATCTTTATTTGCAAACTATTTGACATCTGTCATTTGCCTAAGAAAAAAACTGCTCTTGATTGAAAACTATTAAAAATAGAGAAATATTACAAAGTAGATAGAAAGTTTGAAAACAAAGACATTTCGCATAAATGACAAAAGGTCAAGTAGAAAATATTATAAATGGTAGATCACACGATATGTATGTTAAAGTTTATGACGCATTTGGTTCGTCCTCCATTGATCTATTTAATCTTGCCATGGCTGCAATCTAAACAATATTTTCTAGATATTTATCGACGTTGTATTTTTTTTCTACTTACTCGAGGTGAATCTGTCTGCATTATCTCTTGTAAACTCAGAATTAATAGCTAAAAACAGAATACATTAATCAAGTTTAGATAAATGTAAACCTCTTACTTCATTGAATCTATGCCAGTCATATGTGAGGCGTCGAACATCCATTCGAGTACTGAGTACGTCCATTTTCAAATTTCTAATGCTTGCTTCCATATCACGAGAGACTTCTGTTCTGTATTTGAAAAATGGTTTTATGACTGTAGTAAAAGAAAAGCACAAATACTCACGTAACTGGACTTGTCATAAGTTGAGTCACTGAGTCTGTTGATGCTGTACGATTTTCTTTATTAACAATTACTGAATGCAGGTTTTGTAGTTCGCGTTGAACGTTCAGAATATCATCTTTTGTCACTGCAACTACTTCAGCTTTCGCGGTTGACTCTTCTCTGTTTTCAGAAAAAATCAATATTTCTTTTCATCATAAGTGGAACGGTCGGTTACTCACTTTTGTATCGGATCACTAAATGCACTCTCTTCTGCTTGTATTTTTTTCTTTTCTACTGCACTTTGTACGTAATAATATGTTGCAGCATTCTCAAATTCATTCCATGCATCAGATTTTTCCGGGTCATTTGCAATCATTTCTAATTTTTAAATGATAGTTACAATAATAGAGGTGTCTTACATGATCACTTACTAAAAATACGCGTCAAATGTTTACGTTTAATATTCGCATCATCCACTCGATTTTCCCAACATTCTAAACGACGAATTCGTTTAATACCGTTATTTAGAGCCCAAAAGAAATATGATATAATATTCAGTGGAGGATAGGCGAACAATGGCCGTTCGAAATATTTTCTCACAAATGAATATCTTTGGTAACGCCAAAAAAATTCGGTATTTTCTTCAACTTTGACAATTGTACTACTACAAAAATCAAAGCCCAAAACTTTTAAAATTTCACGAAATAATAAAACATTATTACTTGAATACAGCAATGAGTAAATTTAGAAGCAAAATTTGAATGAATAGTGTGTGGATTGCAAGGAGAACATGAGTGGCTGTAGCTTCTGCAACACCGGTCGATGTACTATTATCGCCATTGATCATATCTGCGTTATAATATAATACAGGTATATGCTTGAAAACTTGGATGTTGACTGTACTTACTGTCAAGTGTTGAAAGTTCGTCTCCAGTATTCCCATAAAGGAACCAGTAGGGCGGATAAAGAATATTACTAAAAATGCCCCGACCGCTGAAATCTACATTTCCATAACTGATCATGGATCGTGATACCACGCCATAAGCAGCAATAAATATAAATATGATGTAAATAAATGCTGATAAATCGTGGAGCTAAATAAGAAAACGTGGATGTGACACATGATATGGCACGATGATCGAGATATACCATGTTTTTGATCATGAACAGCTTTGGGCCGAGATATTTTAGGACAATGATAAATTTTAGCGATTGTAGGTACCACAACTCTAGATCGAACGCCATTAATATTCTAAGGAAGTAACGTATGTCAATGAGAAAACTTATAAGATTGAAAGAGTATTAATTAACCTTCCGGTAGTCAACAGATTTGGCGTATCTCCGTATCGATATCGAAATAATATTCCCAAATAAAATAGAGCGTATAATGAAAAGTAAAAAACTTTTGTAAATGTTGCCAACAGCCAAGAGTTTGATTGATACCACCTTTCTTGCATTCGATTTTGGTAGTGATATGTCAGCTATATTGACAAGACGTACAATTGCTACTGAGCGATTCCATACAGTTTCATCCAGTTTATCCCGAGGTTCCCGCCAACAGAAAATGAAAATGTCCTTCGTGGAGAGCACTAAGAATCACCTACAGATTTCCTAAGAAAAGCTTTGAAGAAGAGTACAGCACATATGTTTTTTAGAGAAAACAAGTTTCTGATATTTAAAAACACCGATCTTGTGCTAAACCAAAGAAAATCCTCTGCTGTCTTACATCACAATGAAGCTAAAAGCTTAATGTCGGAAAAAATGGTAAATTTCCTTTTGGACAATCGGATTTTGACTGATCGGATTTTGGACAGTAGAAGTTAGACAAATTGTCCAAAGTCCGTTATAAGTATAACTCAAACAATCTCTTGTGTCCAAACAAAAACTATCTTTCACTTCATATTCACGAACCTGAACAGTAAAAGTAAACTTTTGCATGTTGTTTCGCTTAACCCTTGACAGCTGTTCTCATTTTTGCACTTCATGGCTACTTAGGGGTCGGGTTGAACCCACACGAGAACGTATGGAAGAAGCTCAACCTTACCATTTGACTGAAACTTTTCATGCATGGACCAATGGTCTACATCATGCTCCGTCTAGCCGTGAATATGTTGATACTGATGCAGGGTATGTAAACCGTAACTTCTCAAAAGAGATACAAAGCTGTCCTAATTGACTTTGCAAGATCAAACAACATCAGAAGCGGGGCGGTGAAACTGAGTGTGAGTTTACGAAAAAAAGTATCTCTTTTGAGACGTAGCCATGTAAACGTGTATTATTTAGAAGACATTTTTGTGAAAGGTTTTATCATTAGATATGCACCAGTTTTTAACTGGTGTTGTAGCATCCCAAATGTTTGCTCTACCAAAACGACGACAGAAGGCGGCTCTAACAAGGGTGGAAATCGTAAATATAACACCATGGTTGTTATCGGATACGTGCGGACCCACACTTCATTTTTTTTCCTGTAAGACTCATTCACGAGACTTGATACAGGTAGTGTGTGTGGATAGAAGATTGACGATCAGGAAAGAGGGCAACTCGAAAGAGATGAACAGCTGAGTAAGAAACAAAAAACGGCACAGTGGGTCCAACTGGACCCCAAAACAGCTGTCAAGGGTTAAATGTATGTAGAATGATTGTATAATCTAACAAAATCAAAAAGAAGGTCACGCGTAACAGATAGTGTTAATGATGAAGAAAAATAATATGCAGAAGGAGGATACTAATTCTAAAGATTATGACTGAGCGATATAAAGGTCCGATCATAACCTTCAAATATTAGAGGGTGCAATAAATTTACCATTCAAATTCCAAAGGAGTTTAGACAAATTGTCTAATTAGTGTTTTGGACAACGTTCTAAATCCACAAGAGTTGTCAAAGTTCACTAGAATCTAGTCAACTTGTTCAAATTCCGCACGATCTTGGATACTATCTAAATTCTGCGTGGCGAAATTCTGATTGTCCAAATTCTAGTATTCTAAAAAATTTGAATATCAACAGAATCAGATTGGCAGCTATTTACCTTCCAAATGGCACTCAGAAGGGAACATATGTAACTGACCAATCGTTTTTTTAATGACATCTAGTGGAGTATAGGTAAAAAATGGTGCTGAATCCGAATATCGGCATGAGACGGGCCGCTAGACCTTGTGAGTAACGGATTTCTGGGAAACCAGGTTTCCAGAGCCAGAAACTTTTTTTTTCCAAAAATATTTTCTGATCTGTCTCGATTGTAGAGCACATTGAGAAACCTATAAAAAACTAGTTTTGGGGTCTTTTAAAGTGTTTTTGAAGATTTTACAAAGCTACAGGCTCCCTCAAAAAACCTCAGCGAACGGAAAAGAGAAGAAAAGTCCGTCTGACGGGCTGTGGAAGGGTTCCAAAATTCTGAAAACTAGTTTTAGTTTTAGTTTAGTTAGTTTTTTATAGGTTTCTCAACGTGCTCTGCAATCGAGACAGATCAGAAAATATTTTTGGAACAAAAAGTTTCTGGCTCTGGAAATCTGATTTCCCAGAAATCCGGTACATCGCTGTTTTACATCGCTGCACTTTTTTCTGTGAACAACATTAGCGCGAAGACTTGTTCATTGGAAAATATAAATAAATGAGCCTGGTTTTGTGTGAGCTACTTTACGAACTTAGTCTCACACTGCATTCTCTCACCACCTCCCGCAACACACTGCCAAAAATATCGAAACATGTACTATGAAAATTCGTGGAAGAGTAGCGGTTCTATTCGCGGAATACTGATTATATACAAACAAATGCTGATAAATAGTGAGCCTCAGCTTATCGTGTGCCGAAGAGAAAACCAGTCAAACACGATAAGCAATGAAACTGGATATCTGTAACTGTATCACATAATTGCTATTAACCACATAACTTCCCTCAAGTTTGAAAACATGATATGTAAAATACAAAACCAGGCTCATTTTTTCTTTTCAAATAACAAGTCTTCGCTTTAATGTCGTGTCATGACTGACTTAGTATTTTAGGACTGAGATCAGCGTGTTTTTAGCTTTATTGCGATGTAAAGCAGTACAGAATTTTAGCAGAAAATCAGTGTTTTTAAATGTTGAAAACTTGACATCTCTAAAAACACATGTTCTGTACTCTTTGTTAAAGATTTTCTCGGAAAAACCTTTAGGTAATTCTTAATGCTCTCGACCGAGGACATTTTCTTTTTTTGTCGGTGGGAAGCTGTGGATAAGTGATCGTTACTTAAGAATTTAACAGTACCTGTCGTAGTTCTTCACATAGTAATGCTGATATTGTAATGATAACGTATATTTCAGTCCAATGCATCCGTCCTTCGGTCTCACTCGGAGCATCAAATTTATATAACATCATGTAACTGAACACAAGCAACAAAAGTATATAGGCAATCTTAATTCAGAGCGTAAATTATATTTTATTAACAAGTTCTCAATCTTATGCTGAACTCACGAAATCGTAGCACATTTTAATCATTGGACATGTATGAAAATATAACAGTCGATACCAGTACTGGTCGCTCTTCTTGTCAGTATAATAGTTGATACCATGACTCGAACATCTGTAAATGATATACCTGAAATACTTTTCTCTTCACAAAATCTACTTACTTGTTTTTATCTGGAACAGCTTCTTTATCCGTTATTTGAGGCTAAGTAAACATATTTATATACAAACATATAAAATATTAAAATTACCTACCTGTAGAATCGTTGTCTGGTCATGCTTTTGTATGTCTATGTTTCGATATGGCATCCAACAAGACGCAAGTAAACCAAGCGTCAATAGGTTAACCAAAATCAAGGGTTGGGTTAAACTTCTGATATTTGTCAATGTCAATTTATCGTACCAAATTTGATTCAATAATTCGTCAACACATGGTGTTGCAAAAAACTTGGCACATTCACCTGCTACTGCAACCTGTACGAGACCAGTTCAAGGCACTATAGTGATTAAAAATGGGATCAAGCTCACCTGCATACAAGTAACATTTCCAAATAGAGGCACTTCACGAATTAACAATTCACACGTCATCTTCTCGTCGTGTGCGTAACATGTTTCGACACATTCGGTAGCAAATTCTTCAAACTCCTCAGCTTGTTCCTTGAGTTTTTGTTGTGCAAAAGCATTCGGTGCTTGTTTTGAAAAATGTTTATAGATGCGTGTAGCGATGAGTGCTGCACATATTCTTGGTTTCAGATGTTTTAGAAATACTTTGGCCATGTCAATTTCAGTCGTAAATAGACTCCAGAGAAATAAATCTCGAATCATTTCATCTTTGGTGTAGCGATTTTTATACTGTTCTGTCCATTCGTTTGTTTCACCGGACGCTTGCATCTGATTCTTAGTTAGTCTTAGTTCTACATCATTCGATTTGTCGGTTAGTTTATGATATGGTTTGATAAATGGACAACAACTGCACAAGTGTCTCAGAAGACTCGTACAATAATCAGATATGTCATGTCCAAATCGGCGAACGTTTCTGAATCCTTTTTTATCGGGAATAACATAAAGATCATCCATAAATGAACCTATCCATTGAGCATAAACTTTATTTAATTGTTGAAATGATGTTGGTGCGCTCTTTCTATCGAAGGTCGTTCTTAGAGTAATATAATCGGTCTAAAAATTACATGAATCGAAAGATATGCCTTATAAGTGGAGAAAATTCTTGCATAAATTCACCTCATCAGGTTCCGAGAAGGAATGTTCGTACCATTGTAAAATGCCGTTCTGAACACAACAACTACACGGATTAACACCCGTACGTAAAAAATAATCGACAAATGCTGACTTTTTTTCTTTGAGAGCGGTTGTGAATAAACTTGAATTATCATCCTAAAAGTTTTGCATTTATTTCAGAGAATCTGAGAGAAAAATCAGAACATGCTCAAAATATACGCGTTCCTGGAATACTCGAAGTGAACGAGCATTTTCAAAAGTCAGATTTTCTTCGGTTAATTAAGTTAGTTAGGACAGACACATTTATGTAAAAAATTTATAGACCGTCTTTCGACAGGATTTTTTAATGAACCTTCAAATGGCTTTGAGGATCGAACGCAAAATATTATAGTCGAAAAAAAGGCTTTCAGAATGATCTTTAAGGTACATGGTCAGATGCAGTTTTGCGAGCCGAGTTCGAATATCAGCTTTATTTCTACTTCGAATCTGAAGCTGAGTAAATAAAGTTAACTGTGACGCTTTCTCTTCCAAATGGCTGAACATATACATCATTATTTTCATCAATATTTTTTAATGAGAAAAAGCAGAAGGAAAAAGATATTTGTAGAATCTACTATTTAGTAAAAGATCACCGGGTCGATGAGTCGGTTTTACGCTGTCCATCAATTTTTTTTCAAAATTTTAAAATTGTTTCAGACCAGTTCAGCTGTTTCGTAATAACAATCGTCGAAACAACCCTATTTCGCTGAACCAACCCCTACTGCCGATGTGTTTTTTTGAAAAATGGTCAAAAAAATCAGTTTTCTGAAAAACTAAAAGTTCAGAATTGCAGACACTGAAACTATTGAGACATTTTTAAAAATCTGTTATGTGCAGTTTACTATTTCGCTGCTCGAAATGTCGCGGAGAATGAATTAAACTACGGAAAAAAATCGTTTGTTTTCAGATTTTCGTAGGAGTTTTCGTGAAACATTTATAGGTCGATTATTTTCAGTTTCTAAAGTTAAAAAAAAATGTCTGCACTTCAGACTTGAATGCTCTTTCACGTGAGATCACAAAAAAGGCGTCTTCATTTTCAACTATACGGAATGCTAAATTTAGATGGTCTCGTCCACTCTCTTCTAAAAACAAGAAAAGTTCAGACCTACATCGACACTTTCTGATACTCCTGAAAGCGGTGGAACTCTGGCAGATTGCACGATTTGTGACGATGGCGACTTCGGGGTATTTTTTTTAATTTTGCTCTCTTCGTCTCTGTTTCGTTTTCGCTCAAATAATTCTTTTGCTGCATCAAGACAGTCCCATTTGACTGCGAGTTCAAGAAGTGCGGACTGACTTTTTTGCGATTGGAAGTTTGTACCTGATCGGCTTCGGGACTCATTCAAATTAGCATTCGTATTTCCAGTATACGCTAAAAAAATGCAGGAAAACTTTATATTTCCTCTGTTTTTTGTTGATGTAACGTACCAGAAAATATAGCTTTAGAGACGGAATCGGCAAAATTCGTATCTCGATCTAATCGGAACACATTTAAAAAACGTCGATTTTCTTTCAACATAATCTTCACAGTTTGAATCACACATGTATCGAAATCATCCTCGTTGAAATTAGCATAAATACTTTTGTCACCAGTAGGAAATGTCTCCCGTAATCTTCCCTTGATGTCATCTAGCGTAACGTCTCTATATTTAAAACCAACGTTTAATAGTGTAGATAAGGAACGTTTTTAAACACAAATTACCGTTTACTGACTTCGCTTAATTCGATAAGATCTGACAATACATCAGCCATTCGACCACTTCCCTTGAATTAGTAATCGTATTTATTTCTACAGAGCTAGTATTTCCGAACTTACGGCTATACTACCTGAATGATGACCACTGGTCGGTATGCACCGAGATCACTAACTATTACTTCTAGCGTGTGTTTACCACCTTCGACAATAATTGTTACCGGATAACCTTTGTAGAAAGCAGTAAAAACAGTGAATGATTTTAAAAAAGAAACGGATTACCGGTTGAAATATATATATATATATATATAAATATATACCAGAGCTCTGGTACATACTAGACATTTCTGAGGCCATGGATTCGGACTGGAGTGGACTCGAAAACAAGTTTTGGATTCAATTGAATCCAGGAATAATCAGTAAAAAAAACATGTTATTTTTGTATTGCGGACTGGACTCGACTAGGTCTTTGACTGGAATTTGGAATTTTGGAGGATTCTGGCTCTTATTGTTTGCCCAAAGTTATGAACTTTTTTATTTTGCCTATATTATACATTAGATAAAATATTAAAAGAATCATAACTCTGCTAGAACACTGTATAAAAGGCTGAAAATGTTTTCTATATAGTAATGCTGAATATATATTGTAATCATAGAAAGTTTCAGCCTTCCAATTTTATTATTTATTAAGTTATCGATATATATTTCTTCATCACTATTGTGAAATGCGTATAATCAACGATAACGTATAAGGAACTTTTCCGAAATACATGGGGTTTCCTTAAGAAAGAAAAATTTGATAACTTAACAAATAATAAAGTTGGAAGGCTGAAACTTTCTATGATTATAATTTATATTCAGCATTACTATATAGAAAACATTTTTAACCTTTTATACCTCGTTCTGGCAGAGTTATGATTCTTTTAATATTTTATCTAATATATGATATAGGCAAAATAAAAAAGTTCATAACTTTGGGCAGAAACAATAAGAGTCAGAATCCTCCAAAATCTAAAATTCCAATCATGGACTAAAAAAATCTAGTCCAGTCCAATCCAAGCAGAGATGGGCAAGTACAAGTATGCTCGAGTACAAAATTTTCAGTACTCGTACTCGGAACCTTTTTTTACGAGTACTTAAACATGTACTCGAGTATTTTCGAGTACTTGAAATTTTTTAACATATAATAACCTATAATTAAAATAACTTTTTTCATGAGTATTTTCTTCTTTTAAAAATATTCATATTCGTACTTATACTCGACACCCAGTACTCGTACTCGTACTCGAGACTCTGCGTACTCGCCTATCTCTGAGCCCGAGGCCATGAAAAACAGTTTTTTTCGTCTATGGACTGTGAGAAAAATAGTCCATTTTGGTCCACAATACAAAACCAACATGCTTTTTTAATGATTATTTCTCGATTCAAGGGAATCCAAAACTTATGAAAAATTTATAACTTTGGACAGAAACAAAAAGGTCCAGAATCCTTTTAGGGTTTTTACTAGGGCCTTACCCTCTACTTTGGTCAAAAGATCATTAAAATCGGAGTTGTGCACCTGAAGAGGTTCTCTCGCCAGCGGAATGAGTAAGAAATAGTAGCTCGCAAGCAACTACTATAGAATGGTGAGTTTTTTAAATGAGTCAACAATGAAACGAGCTGGAGAATTCCGATTTTTGCCATTCAGAAGAAGAGACTTTGGGACATCTTTTTGTAACAGATATTTAATTCAAATATATTTTTTGAAGCAGATTTTCGAGGAGAACCGAATTCTTTGGAAAACCAAAACATAACTTGAAAATAATATACAGTAGATAGATAGCCAAACGTGTCCTCTTCGAAACGGGAGTCTTGATTTTCAGTAGTTCCGATATGGTATCGGATTTTCTTACAGTCCTATGATTGATATCCGATGCCTGGCGGTAACCTTGTCGATCGGATAAAACATGCCGTAATCCACTTGTTTAAGTGTGGTGGCAATGTTTGTTTTTGTTTTTGGAGAATTTTGGTTTGGAAATTTAAGAAATGTAGATACCTCCTGATTCTGTGAATTATAACTACCCTTAACCGTATTTTACAATGCCATTTTGGTATTTCGGTGTGCTCCTTTTGGTTTTGTAAGATTCCTTTGAGAATATTTCTAATTCTACAGAACCAAAAAATAGAGGGTATCTGCATTTGTTACTCAGAGTACAAAACTATGGTCAAGGTTACTGTACAAGATTACTTAATGCTGTGGTGCAAGAATATATTCAAGGTTATTGCGCAGAGTCTAGTCAAGGTTATTACGCAATATTTCGTACGTACATAGATCAATTTTATTGTTAAGAATATATCTTTTTTATTTGTAAATAAACGTTAGGTGAGAAAGAACTTAGTTCACCCGGGAACCTAACACACAGATTCCCAAAAGGTATCCCGACATTGAAATACCTTTTTGTGATTCTGTACGATACGAAAATGTTTTAGAGAGTGGGATAAAATCTAAGAAGCAGCATTTAACGGATATTCTTTGATTAATTCCGCGTCAAGTTTGCTAGAAAAAATGATGTGTGAGAAAGTTCATTTTTATGCAAAAATAAAACTTTTAAAAAATTTCCTAAATTTCGACTTGATGTGAAATGTTCTGGCGGCTAGACTAAATGTTTGTTTGTTGATAAAGGATATACCCAACACGTGTTTTGTTAAAAAATTTGACGGACGCTAAGAACCTTCTAGCTCTCTCTGATCACCATAGATGAGTCAATCTCGCCAAAACAAAATAAATCATGCGCTAATCAAGTTAATTGAGAAAAATCAGTTTTTGCTGTTTTCTGGGTTTGTTAGACATCATTTTTATCTCTCAAATAAATTCTCTTTTTTTTCAAAAGAATAAAATAGAACAGAGTTGGCGGTCTCGTCAAACGAATAAACCCTAGTGCTGGACAAGAACCTGACGGGGAAGAAAACGGTCTCATGTATTTGGGGCGATTTTTACTGTGGCTTGAAAAGAGCTGAGTATGTGTTGACTCTGAAATACACTGCGGACCACGACGAAGCAGTATAACTTTAAAATTTTAAAGACCTAAACATAAACCAGTGTATACCATAGAAAACGGGCTAAGTTAGTACGATTTTGGGAAAATCATAGCGATTATACGGCTTGGACATCCCTGATGTTAGCGGTCCTTTACCACTAGCATACACCTCATCAGAAAGAAAACGCTAGTGAAAATAGAAGAATTTAGCAGACGAATGGTACACCGTCTTAGATATCGGACAAATATCAAACAGAGCAGTCTACATTTTCCCTGTAATATAACTAGGCGGCTGTAACAAGTTAATAACAACTTACTTCTATCATCCACAGCAGCTTGCACGAATGATGATCGCTGTAAATCACTCAAATAACCACGTAGCTGACCATCATCGAGTAAAAGAAAATGTGTGTGGTTCCATTCCAACGTTTCACTATCTCCCAAAGTTAGTACTTTAGAATTACTTGGCGACTTCGACTATAATGAATCATTAGAAACTATTTTAAAACGACTGAAACATTTTTTCTTAGTACGTGTTCGTTCAACAGCTCTCTTGTATCATCCGTCAAACTTCCCCACATTGTTAAGCCAATAGCCGTGACTCGTTTAGGATGTTTTGCCAGTAGACGATAACGAGAAATACCTTCCCCAACCAATTTTGACACACCGTTATTTAGGCCCGCTGTCAAAATCCATGCACCTAAAATACGCTAAAGCTGAACTCAGTTGTAGTCAAAGACTAAACTCGACACAAGTCTCATTTTCTGTAACTGATCGTAAACAAAGCCTTCATGTCAGATGTAAGGAAAGGATCACGTTTCGCAAAATGCCTTTTCACAAATCTGCAGAATGGCTTATGGTAGCGACGTGAATTTCCTTTAAGAGTGCATACCAGACGTAACCACACTCGGTACTTACGAGGGAACTGCCCCAAGTGTCCGCTCGCTTTTTTGTTGAAATCTAGGGGAGAATAGGTTATCGACTATGCTGATTCCGAATATGACAATGGTTTTTGCGGCTAGACCTTCGAAGACCTGGTTTTCTACAAAACCAGATCTCCGAAGGCCTAGCAGCAAAAACCATTGTCATATTCG